CCGTTGGCCACGCATTGCCATATATTTACCGGTTGAAATTTAGGTGTAACAAGTTGTATGAAATTCCTGAGTTTCAAGGGAAATGGATGAAATTGGATTCTGCATAAGTGCAAAATTTGATATCATGTCGGGTGCGTCTTCATGACATTGGATGTGACTCCAAAGACAGGTGTCTATTTCACTTACGCTGGGTGCAGGATCGGTGGTGCCAAGCGTGAAGAGAGAGACTCATCTCAGATTGAAATCATGTCAGACATGGATTGAATGGCATCGGGTATGAAATGAAAGACTTATTTTTGTTTGGAATCACGCCGATGGTGGCTCACAAAACTCACTCATGCTCTAAGTGATTGCATCGCCGCTCCATCATGACCTCTCTCATGACAGCGGGACACGCCTCCTAACCCTCCACCGTTTAGGAAGACTTTCGACACAAGAGATCCCAAACTTGGATCCACCTACCAGATCATACTCGTCGAGCCAGTCACCTGATCAGACCATCGACTCTGATACCACTTGTTGTGCACCGGGGGTACCACTTGTTGTATACCGGGGGTTACCACACATATACACATGTCTCCACATTGGTGAGATATTGTCCGCTTTGGGCCCAAGCCCTCACGATTTTACTTTTAGACATCACCCAAAAGGCCTCTCGACCAATGGAGACCATTGTGTGTATATAAACTCATGTCCATCCTCTTGCTTGAACGATGTGAGACTTTGCTTGCATCCTAACAGGCCAGGCATGGGCGTTGCCACACCAAGCATGAGAGCGTGGGATACTCTCTACCTAAATCACACCGGACGTGAGTGATAAGATGTTGGGCATGGGTGAGATAAGGAATTCCCTGCCTCAATGGCACCAGGCGCCTAATGATGTATAATTGATGTTGTAAGATGATATATTTGTTGATATGTAGTTAGTTGAATGTGCTGTAAAGTTGTAAATTGAGTTCTGATGTCGTTCAATTAAGTTGTGTTGCAGAGATGTATGATGTTTACATTGTTTAAGTTAATATGTTGTAAAGATGAAAGTTGAACATTGTATAAGTTACATGTTGTTAAAGTTGATAAGTTGAATGTTGAGAGTTGATAAAGTTGTTAAGTTGATAAACTATAAATATGTGAGTTAGATACATGTCTTAGCTACGATACATAGAAATTAGAGGAGAGTTAAAGATGTTATTGAACTTAATATCCCATTGTGCGGACATATGTTGTGTTGAACCTTTCAGTAAGTAATGAGTACGTTGTTTTTAGTTGTCTCCTCTAGGTTCTATGTGGCATCGATGTGTAGGCAAGGTCAAGATACACATGTATAAAGCGACCAATCGAGTTAAGTACTAGGTCAAAGACTTAGTCTCTAACCTAATGTTGGAGGGTTGTGGTATTTGAAGGGTAGTCAGTAAACTAATTTCATAGATGGTTTAGTGTTGCATGCTAAACTCGTGGTAGGCTCATACCTAAATTGTTCTACCTTGACATAGTACCATACTTTCTAGTTTAAGTAGTGAAACCTGAGAAATCAATCTAACTTATGCTAGCCGTAGTTTCTAGCCCAGTGCTAGCCATTATTTCTAGCCTTAGTGTCAGCTGTTGTGATTCGGTAGGGTCAAACCACTTAAACTGCTTATCTTATGTTATTGGAGATCTCCGTAGTTGATATGTGTGACAATGCATTAAATGCAATTGTATCTGCTGAAATGTTGAATATATTAAAGTTGATTAAGTTGTTATGCTAAAATTGTTATGATGTGATGTATAAGTTGATACGTTGAACACGCTGTGAGATGTTAAGTTATTATGCTGATGATGTTGTTATGTTGTAAGTTGTTATATTTTGCTATGATAATGATATCTATAAGTTGTTATGTTGAATTCTTTTCATAAGTTTATCCTATATTTTTCTTGTGGTTGAAACTGTGATGATTATACTTAGTATGGGAGTAGGATATGATTAGTAGGAAAACTTATACAGTCGAAGGATAGTCATGCTGGGGTGATAGTTTTGTTGATGGTTACTCCTATGTAGTCGGATTTTGTATAGATGTCGACTGACACCCAGGTTTATTTTGCACCAAGTACTGTATTTTGTATATAACATGTTTATATATTCGATAAGAGTTACTACTTGCATTATAAACTTTAGTTCTAATGTATATTGTTTAATCTTCCTCTACACAATAATTATTTAATAATAAGTGTAGTGACCTGTCGAGTCGTTATAAAATGTAATATAAAAATTGAAACAAAAATTATAATTTTTTTAATAGAAATTGTAGCATAAAAAATTGTGACAGAAATTGTAATTTGTTTTTATTTTTACACAATAAAAGAATTGTACTTATAAAAATTAAATTGAAATAATTAAAATTTAACAAAAGTATACCACTGGGAACAGCGACACAATATTGTGTAGCAGCAGCCCTATAATCAGAAAAAAGAATTAAATAATAAATTAATATCAAAATATTAAACAATAAAATTTAAATAATTATAATTGCCAATAGTGACTTCTAAAATTATTTTATTAGGTTGGAGCATCATATGTCGCCGTGGAAGTTGCTAAAGCCAAATTTTTGTTAAAAAATAAATTAATAAACACATGACAAGGATGTGATTGGGTTGAATAATGACACACATCATTAATTATCTTAAAGTGAAAAATCATTTCAAAACAGTCCACTTTAGTAATTAGTTTACCAAACTGTCTCACATGGTCGAAAAGTCTAATGTAGTGTTTGTTTTCGCTGATTTACTGTTCACGACGAACGAAAGACAAAGAAAGTGAACGTTTATTTTTGCTGATTTGCAAGAAAAGAAAGGCGAAGAAAAGCAGAAGAAGCCGAGATGTCATCCTCACGCTTTTGCGAAGAAACGAGATGAAAGCCACGTAAGATTTGAGAAAACCTGATAATACCCTGCTCAAAAGCTGAAAAAAGGTAAAAAAAACTTAAGCGAAAATATACTAGCATAATCGATTATGCACCATGCATAATCGATTATAAGCTGGTATAATCGATTATAAGCTGGTATAATCGATTATGCCTCAGCATAATCGATTTTTCCAACCCATAATCGATTATGTATGCATACATAATCGATTATGCTGCCATATTTTTGCTTCCAAGCGTGCCCAGAATAGATCGTTCCAAAATTGGAACGGCCCGTTCTAAACTACTAAAACAAGGGTAATTTAGTAGTCTAGAACGGGCCGTTCCCAAACTGTAACGGGCCGTTCCCAAACTGGAACTGACCGTTCCAAACTAGTAAATTGGCTTAAAAACCTTAGTTGAGAACGGACCGTTCCAAATTCTTTGTTATACGGGCCGTTCCCAAACTGGAACGGGCCGTTCCCAAACTGGAACGGGTCGTTCTAAACTAGTAAATTGGCTTATAAACTTTAGTTGAGAACGAACCGTTCCAAATTGGATAAAAATGTAACCCCAAATTTGTAATGTTAAAAATTTCTTAATTTTTTAATTGGTAAAAATTAACTTGTACAATTAACAAATGTATTTTCATTTCATTCTAATTTATGTCAATGATTTATCAATTTTTTAATTTATTAATTAACTTTCAAAAATTTTATTGTACATTTTTTTTATATTAAAAAAATTCTATTATTTAAATATTGACATCAAAAAGTGAAAATATAAAAAAAAATAAAGTAATACATGTTTATAAAATTAAAATAATATCACTTTCATAAATATTAATAAAATAATGTTAGAAAATATAATTATCATAATATATTTTGTTATTATTATTTATTATTATAAATATTATTATTATTATCATTATTATTAATATTATTATTATTTATTATAATTAGTATCATTATTATTTATTATGATTCTTATTATTTTTCTAATATTTATTATTATTATTATCATTATTTATTATTTTTTTAATAAATTATACCTATTAATATAATTTTATTGTAATTATTATTATTTACAATAAATAATATTATACTCATTTTTAATCCAAGGGTAAAAGTGTAAATTACATATTCATCTATTAAATTTTTAATTTTTATCTATCATTAAATTTAAAGCAAATATTTAAATTAAATTATTTTTAAATTAATATTTTATATTTATTTTTTTAGTTAAAATTTTTATATTTATCTTTTAATTATAATAATTATAAACTTTTTTTTAACCTAAGAGCAAAATAATAATCTTACAAAATTATCAATTAAAAAATTTATTTTTATTTATTATATCAATCAATTCACTCACAAACTTTCTTTACACTTTTCACTCACTTTTCCTTAATCCAAACAACTTCACTTTCCACTCACTTTCCCTTCAAATTCATCCTTTTCTACTCTCCCTTTTCCATCCTCAAATTCAAACAAAGCTTAAAAGACGTGAAAGAGACGAGTGACAGAAAATGGAGTATGTGAAGATAAGTCATACAAAAAGCTTAGTTGACTAAATAAAAATAAAATAAAACTTAAGCTGATTGGACAGTTAAAATGTTAAGTCCACCACGCTTGCTTCAACTCTTATATATTATAAAAAGATAAATATGAAAAACCTAACAATAAAATATTCTAATAACACAAGGCATTTCATCATCTTCAATTTCATTTTGTTTTCAATCAACTATAGCTTCACGTAATTATGAGAATGATGCATATAAGTATGCATTGGTGCCAATGTAGAAAGACATTATTTATAGTTTTTTTTAACATGGAAATTTAGATCAAGACAAGACACGATTTTATATAAAATTAAAATTAATATTAATTTCTTTAAAAAAAACTTAATAAGATTACACAATGTCTATTCTATTTTCAACACAAGTCTGCATAAAAGAATATAAAACATCATTTATATACCTCTTTTAAAATTTTCAATAGGATTACGGATTATTTATTTCATTTCCGATACAAATTTACTTGAAAGAACATAAAACATCATTTATTTATACTCTGGCCATGTATAGAATTGTGTATGGTTATAAATATAAAAAGAGTAAATACATTAAGGCAAATGAAAATTATAACACCATCACATTCACAAGAGAGGCTAAGAATTCATATGAATCATCTCTACAACTAGCAAAGAAGGCAGAGGAAGTGCATATCTAGGTAGTTAATATACAAGCAAGGATTGCAACCTAAACAAATACTGTTGAAAAACACAAGATTATATTCAAGCAAGAAAAACAACAGAATGACACAAGCACTGATAATTGGTGCAACTAGGGTCTAGCTTTTGTCAATGCTAGATTGAGCAAATTGTTAAAATAATCTATCATCTCAAATTTAGTGTAGGCTTCTTCTTCTGTTTTGACAAAAGATGCGAGATTCGTGCAAATCCAAATTTCTTTCTCTTAGTAGAAAACAGATTATGGCCAGTTTCTTTCTCAACTTGTCTATCAACTGGTGGATCATTGTGCTGTTTGCCAAGCATCTGACCCAGTGACACATTTTGTGGCTGATCCAGCAGCTTCTTGCTAAGTACTTGTCCTATTGATAGGGTTGACTTTAGAACTGGCATGGCTTCATCATTCACCAGATGCAATCCATTCACATCGAGTAATCCAGGATCTCGCCGATGATGAGAAGGACAAGAGCTTTTGAACTTGGGAAAGTTATTATGTATGGAAGAACGTCTTTTGTGACCATCTGATCGCCAATTTCTTAAAGCCTCTTCAAATGCTACCTTGCCTTTATTTGCAGCTTCTACTCTTTCTAGAGCTTCTTCAAGGGCCTTCTTGTTGGTTATAACTTCCTCTGTAGCTTCTCCTACCCTTTTCAAAATGTCCATGTTTGACAAATTTGCTTCTTCAACTTCAACCATAACACCTGCAACTCTCTTCTTAGATTGTTCCTCTGCATCTCGAGCTTTGCACGTCAGAGCAGTGTACTCTTCAAATGAAAGAGTAACCTGATTTCCAGGTGAACTCTCATGATTAGATAAAGCATTAATTTCTGCAAGGGCAGAGGCTTCTGCAGCTCTTGCAGCTTCTTTCATTTTTCTGGCTGCAACCAATCTGATTTCGGCGGTTCTTATCATGGTCTTTGTCTGTTCAATCTCAGACATTGTTCTCAAAACTTCAGATTTTGCAGATTCTCCCATTCTTTTGAAATTCTCTGCCTCCGAACTCAATCGCTGGAGCTCTCTTGTAACATCTGAATGATCACCTGTATCACCTTTGATTTCAGCATCTTTTGCTACTTGCAGTCTTAGTCTGGCTCGGATAAGCTCTTCCTCAAGAGAAGATATTTTTGAATAATTTTGAGTTAATCTCTCGCGTGTTTTATCAAGTGAGATTCTTTCCTTCTCTAAATTCTTATTAAGCGATTCGACAGAAGCTCGGACATCGGCAATGTCATTAGTGGTTTTGGTTAAGTTCAATTTGGCCTGCTTCAATTCCATTAGTATTAAGCCTGGAGCAGATGAAGGGGAGGGGATAAAACCTTCCCTGGAAGGTTGAAAAGCACTAAGTTTCACTTGGTTTTCCTTTTCTTCTTTGTCCCCAACAACTGATTTTTGATCACATTGGCTTATCTTAAGATTCAAATTTGCTTCAGATTCTTCCTTCTGTAGCTTTGATTTCAAATCTTCTACAAGCCTTTTGGTACTTTCCAATTCTTTCAACACATCAAGAGTTTCCCTTTCTTTCAGGATCAGTTCTTTTTCCAATACCACAGCCTGCTTCTCCAGTTTTTCTGCGTCAAGCTCTTCTGTTTGGTGCTGCTAACAAAATAAGGGGGATGGGAGAAACTTCACAATTTAGCTCAACCAAATACTTAAAAAAAAAAAGTTTAATTCAAAACAAATATTCACATGCAATATAAGGTATAATGCTATTCCAATAAAAAATAAAAGGAACAATGCTATGTCAAAGACAATTGTAGATACAATTCCTCAAGTGCCATAATAAAGGTTTGTGCTAAAGATCAACAAATATTACCAGATGAAACTCTAATTCTAATTGAAGAACAATCAAAACACCTAAAGAATTGCACTTAAGTTTTGTCCTTAAAACACCAAATGTTTCATTCCAATTTGATAATTGAGCAAAGTAATTGAACTCAAGAAATGAATGCAAGGCCAACCGTACAAGGATGTGTCACTTCACAACAAAAGATGTGGGTTCTAGTAGCTACTTAATATTTACATAGGTTATATGCTAAATATGGTGTAACCATTGTTAGAACGCTTTGGGTATTACTATTATCAAAACTCAACAAAGAAAAACAGAACTTTATTGAAAAGAGATTATTCTACTGATATACAAAGAAGGATCCCTATATATATATAGGTACAGAGTCCAAAAAGAAAGATCCTAATAGAAAACTGAAAACAAACTAACAGGCTAAAACAGCAAAAACTAATTTTCTATTGCTCTAATAAGTTGCTATTATGACTTCCCCAATAATTGCTTATACCTGTTTTTACATATATATCATATTATTTCTTTGCTGATCCAAGAAAAAAAAATGAATACAAGGATCACATTTAATGTTTCCTCCTAGATTTTGACAGCATTCTTTGTCTATAAATGACTTAAACTATGGTTCACCGGATCCAAGCCTCACTAGTACTCACAACAGAAACACAAATTTAACAAACTGTTTCTTGGAGGGAAATAGAGGGGGAGGGGGAAGAGAAATGTTGATAAAAATCCTTGTTTGGTTCAAATGTTTAGAGGGAAGGCAACATGAGGGACCCCAAATTTCCCTCCCATCCAACTTTTGCCTTTCTTCCAAAAACAGAGGAAGGAAGGGAGTGTAGGTTAATTTTTGGGTTCCTCGCCTGGTTTGAACAAAAACCAAAAGTCAAAAGGGTTTAAAATTGCAATTAGAATCATGATTTCATCGTGTTTCTTGATATTGCAGAAAATTGTAGACAAATGAAAAATTATGGTCAGAGACCCCACAGTCCTTGACTGTTAAGACTCCAAAACCTTGATACTTTACTTTTTTAAATACAAGCTTAGAAGAACTTTTGAGAATTCCTTTACCGAAAATAAAGTTTTTTTTTTTTCAGTAAAAGAAACTTTGAGAAGCACTTCTAACTTGTATCAAAGAGGCTTATTGTGCTACAATTGTGGCCCCAGATCAGTTTTTAAACCTTGAACAAGGTTTGAAAAGCAGTCCATATCCACAGTTTCAGCTACAAGCCTGTAACGGCAAGGTTTTTGGAGTCTCAACAACCACAATTGTAGTTGAATTTGTCTGCAACTTCTCACAATACTAAGGAATGTACAAACGTAACAGTAATTCAAAACCTTGACCTCGCAAACAGTCTCTAAATCTTAACCCACAAGCCAAAAGGAAACAACCTAGAATCACAATAAAAACAAACTTTCCAAAGCAACATCAAGGAAACATCACAAATGGGTCCATTTACCACAACATAAACACACCAGCAAGAAAACAAACATAAAGCCCCAGCTTCTCCCTTCTACACACAAACACCCCACACAAACAAAACAACATAGCCCCCGACCCCCCAAAATTCCACCCACAAAGGTCCCACCTTTTCCTCCGAAGAGTGGAAGGAACAAACAAAAACAACGAAATAGTAGCATTTCACCTCGTGGGGTGGTGCCATGTAGCAATGCCACAACCCTCAAGAAAGAGAGAAAAAAAAGAATACCTCAGAATCAGAATCCACAGACGTAATCTTACTTAGACGGGGCTTCCAATAACCAAGACCCCCAAACTTAGTGACAGCTTCCTTCACCGATTCAAAGGGCGCAGAAGTATCAATCTCCGTTCTCAAACTCTTCTCCTTCTCACCACGTTCCGCTCGATTCGACGTCGTTTCAACCACGTCAGCGCCTTCCATTTCCATCGCCAACTCCACAAACAAACGGAAGCCAAAGCAAACACGGCCTTGTAATGCCCCTGAGGGTAGAATTTGAAGCACGCGACAAAAGAAGGCGAAGTGAGAAACAGAGACAGAAGGAAAACGACAAGGCGCTGAGTTTAGTGTTTGTGTTGAGTCGTTGGTACACAAAGACGTTGTCGTGTCGCGCTCAAGTGCTTGATAACGGACAAGAAACAGATAGTGAGAGGGAGAAAAGGGGTTTAAGTTGAAGTGAATGTGAAAGTGAACGTTTTGAACTCAATTTCCCCAAATGCCCCACTGGAAATGGAAATTTTTTTAAACCTTCCTTCAAATATAAATGGAAATTCTGTTTGGGTATCTTCTAAAATTAATTATGGCATTCAAAATTATGGTAAAATTGTAAAAGTTAGAACTAATTATTTATTTTTTTTGTTCTTCAAATTCATTCCAAGTCTTTTCAGATAAACTTAAAAAAAAAAAAAACAGAAAAAAAAAATTAAGTTAATTTGTAAAAATGTTTTTATTAACTTTTCTAAAATCTTATTTTTAATTTATTCATAAATTATTCTAAAAATTTATTCATAAATCAATTTTAATTTATGAGAAAACTTGTTTTTTTTTGTCTTGAAAGTTGATTTATAAAAAATTATTCTAACAAACTATTTATAATTGATTATGGTAGAACTGAAAGCTAATTCAAATACACAGAGAACATAATCGTACTGGTATTTTAATTGTACGATGTACAAAATAAATATTTGTTATATATAATTAAATTATAATAAATAAATATTTTTATTGATAAAGCTATACAAAGTTTATTCTTAATTATTAATAAATTTTAAAATAATAAAATTTAATTTTAAAATAAAATAATAAATTAAAAGGAACAAGGATTAAGAAATTATTTAAAATGCTTCTTTTGAAAAAAAAATAAAGACTAAATTATATTATTGATCTTTTATCTTATTTATTATATTTATTTTGGTCTTTTATATTTTAAAATATTATTTTAGTCATTATCTTTTATATTTGAATTAATTAAGTCCTTTAAATAATTATTTTTAATTTTGTGATACAATTTTAAATCAATTTCTAACTGATTTGAAACATGAAAATTGTAACAATAAATTTAACTACATGAAAATTATAGCATTAAATTAACATTTGAATCTATAAGAGCTATAAACATAACCAAAATTGTGTAAAAAATATTTCTCATAAATAATTAAAAAAAAGTATGAAATTATAGTTTTTTAATTTTCAATTACCTTTTAGACTTACTTTTATGTAATTTTTACCATGTTTATGACACTAAAAAAAATTCATCATGTCTATTTTTTCATTTAAATTTTTTGTTGTATTCAACAATTTTTATATAAGTGAATCTAATGAGACGAATTTTAAATCTTGAACCAATAAAAAAAATCTAAAATCATGTTTCAAAATTGAAAACAATCATTATTTTTAAGGGACCAAATTAGTTCAAATTTAAAAAATAAAATACTAAAATAAATATTTTAAAATATAAATGACCAAAATGAATCTAATAAATAAGATACAGAACAAGAATATAATGTAACAAAAAAATAACTAAAAATAATATCATTGAAAAGTAATTGGTAAAAACATTTCGTTTTTTTTTTCGTTCCTGTAGTATCCATCGCTAATAGAGAAAATTTAATTAGAAGAAAATATTACTATATATATTTGAATATTTGATTTAATGTCAAAGGAAATTATATTTAGCATACATATATTTTGCTGATGAAATTAATTTTTTTACACCATTTTTGGTAAAATTAATATAAAATTGGGCTTCATAGTAAAACTAAAAATATTAAAAGAAGATGGTGTTAATATTTTTGAATTTATTTTTTTGATAACGAAATGTTTTTGAATCTGAAAGAAGGGAAAGGTGCAGTTAATGTGGATGATGAGGCCCACAAACGCACCTGAACAGCTCAACTGTGTGAACGGTAACTACGCACGACACTCGCTTATGTATGTTTACTTTCGTTTCATTGATTTTGAAAAAATTGACGTTAAAACTTTAACTAGCTTTCAAAAGTTACGGTCAACGTTAACTTTTACCTGTGATGTCACTTCTACAATTTCACATCTTAATTCGTTAATCCTTTTGCGTTTAAGAGATGTTAATAATTTAGACAAGTATATTAGGTTTAATTTATAAGAAATTGTTAGGATGTAAGTAAAGTTTCACATTATTAAAATAAGATAATGAATATGGATTTATATACACACGATTGTCTTCATTGATAGAAAATTTTTTTAAATGATATTTAAAAGTAAAATTATGAAGAATGAGCTCAAAGCGAATAATGTCTTTCTAATACGGAAACATGTATATATGTGGTAACTCCCAATACACATAAGATATACATATTTTATTAACTATTTTAATTTTTATTAGACATTTTTATTCTTTTGTCAATATCACATATTTTATAATTTTTAAATTATTCACTTTTGTAATATAAAAAAAACCCTCACTCTCAGTAATTTGTATAATTAACTATTTTTAAATTTTAATATTTTTTCTGTTATTAAATTCATCCTTTCTCAAAATCCTTCAAAATAATACACAGAAGAGATATATATAGTATCTCTCTTTTCTAGTAATGTCTTATTATGCATTGTGAATGGTAATTGAAAGTTGACCTAAGATAAGATAGCATTTAACTAGACTCATTTTTAACTTACAAGTTGCTTTTAAGTTAAAATAAGAACTTAAAACCATAAGTAAAAGTTATTTGGTATTTTTTATTTTTTCTAACTTAAAAGCTCCCTTTAAATTGAAAGCTGTTTGATAAAAAAAAATTCAAAAAAATTACTTATATATTTTTTATGTGTTAGGTTTTAGTTTTGTAAAATAAAAAATGTTGTATAAGACATCTTTTCACCTCATTTTCTAAATGTTTTTATAAATAATTACAAGATATTGATATTAAATTTCTTTATTTTAAAATATTTATATATAAAATCATTTCCTATATGAATTTTCAAACATAATATATATATATATATATATATATGATGTTTGTATAATTATTTGTAAAATAAGTAATAATAAAACAAATTGTTCTAAAATTAAATAAATTTTTCATGTTATTGATGTTTATATATTTTTAATCAAAAGGCGTTAATCCAAGTGATTTCATACTTGTAGTATTTTTTAATTAATGATCAAGATTTGATCTTCATTCTAGATATGAAATCATGATTAGAGATATTACTTGATCTTGATAAGGGTTGAAAAATAGGAAATTCTTAATATAAGTAACAAATTGAATTTTTCTTTGCTCCTAACCATAAGTAGCAATCATTAATTTTAAAATTACTTAAGATTAAATTTCTTTTATATCTTTTATTTATTGTCAGCTATATATTCTATGAATTTACTTATAACTAATATTAAAGATATAACAATTACTTAAAGTAAAAGATATATTTGGAATAAAATTTGAATTTATGTTAGAATTAATTAAAAGTAACCATATTAATTACTTTTATTGATTTTGGTGATTTATCCTATGTTACTTATAGTTAGGACCAAAAATAGTTTATAATTTATAGAAGAGTGATCCAATTATTTTAAAAGTAAGCTTACTTAAACTTCACTCAATAACTTATGTTCTACATCAAATTTTAATAATTTAACTATTAAATTAAAAGTTCTTAATATATAGATTAAGTCTGTAAATTTTATAAAAATTTAAAAACTATTTAATATTCTATTTTATTAATTTAAATTGATGAATAATTATAAAGACATTTTATATGTTGATTTGAATTAATAAAACAGAGTATCAAATAGTTTTCATTCAATAATTTATGCTTTACATTAAATTTCAATGATTTATTTCATCAGTTAAATTTTTTTAGTAAAAGGAATGCAGCAGATATAATATACTATTTCTAAGGGACCAAGATTATACTAGTTTTGGCATGGAAGTTACACTACTCGGATGCAATTTTTTTAAGGTCAAATTTATAGTTTTAAAATATTTCGTTGAAATTGAGTTTGGGTTACATACGACTTCATATTTGACATAAAATTGAAGACCTTGAAATATTAATGGTTATGACATCCTTACTTTTAACACAAAATTATAAACAACAAATGCAATGAATGAATAAAATTAAATAATTTAAAAGAAAATACTTTTAAACATAATTGAATATTTCATTTTACTAATTGTTATGGTATGGAAAACGTCCTAGAATTATAAAGGAAAATAGAATGTTATATAAAAAAAGGTAATAGTAATAAAAGTGTGAATATTTTGAAAAATGATAAGATGCAACAATAATAACGAAAACTTTATTTCATTAAGTGAGGTTTACTATATAGATTACGTGAAACAATTCAACTTGATTAAAATAAATCTTCAAAAAAAAATTATTTACCATGAATCCCTTTTAACAACCTCCTTCTTGATCCCTTCTTTCCCAATTCATTGAAAATGAAGTAGAAAAATTATTAAGGCCAGTGAAAAAAAAGAAGAGATTCTCTAACTTGGGGCAGAGGAGTAGAAGTTTTCAATAATTGCCATCCTATATCTTACCATTGTGAATATTATATTGCGATTTTTTCTAGTATTATAACTATGGTAGGATATCTTGAGAAGTTCAATTTGTCATCTTGACAAATAGGGCTGCTTATTAAAAAAAAAAATTGGTAACCAAATTGTTTGTTTGTTTTATTTTTTACAAAGAGATTTGGTCAATGTAGTTTGATGATTTACTTTTGACTCATTATAATCAAGTTTTTTTAAAAAGTAAAACTGAACCAATCTGCTTAATAAAAGTAGTTTGATTATTTAAATTGTTTTTATAGATTGGTTTGGTCCGAATTTTGTTTCTTATAAAAGTTCCATTTTTATAATTTGGTTTGACTGAATTTTAAATTGGCTTGAATCGAACCAGTTATTTTATTTTTATCTTTTTGCATACCTCTAGTGAGAGATGATGTCAAGTTTCAAATTTCATTACATGGGAAAATGTCATCTGATTCAATTATTAAGTACATGCTTAATGATTTTGGTTGCTGTTATATGCTCAAGACCTTGTACTCCTTTGTTTTCATTGTCATGGTTCATATTTCCAGCATCATACAAAGCTCATATTTTGGTTTTCTGTCTTCTTGGGAGTTCTCCATTGATTGTGTAAATAAGTCTAAACATGCCAAATGGGTTCATAACAACTAACAAGTGTTTTTATTTTTTATTTTTATACGAATTCATAGATCTGATTTTTAAATAATTAACTTGAAAATTTTTATTTAGTCCGAAACTTACTCCATGAATGTAATTTAGCTGACAAGAAGGATTGGATTTTTGATTTCATTCATTTTCAAAATTCTGTATGAAATCAAACTCAAGTTGTGCCAATGGAAGAATTAATTAACAATGATTTTATTTAGTTGGATAGTTTGGTTTGGTTTTTGCATCTAATGCCATGTAATTTGGCCAATCAATAGGTAGATTTAATGAAAAATTGACAACAAAAAATTACTATATCTCATTCAGGGAAATACTAACAACTTATTTCAGATAAAAGTTTAGTCCTTACTATAGTAGCTTTAATATTAATAATATATTGATTTAAATATATTTTTTAATCTTTTAAATTTCAGTAATTTTTATTTGATCTTATAAATTTAAAATTGATTTTCATAGGCCAATAATTATAAAAGGCTTGTTTTATTCTCCAGTAACATGACTTGTTTTATTCTTCAGTAACATCACTAACAAGAGACAAATTATGTCAGTTATATTCATATAATTTAATGTAATATTTGTATCAATAAAAATACTTGTAAGTGAAATTTTTGTGAGAAATTTAATAATTTATATGTTTTGTTTGATAAATTCACTAATAACATGGCATTTGAATAGATGAATTGAAATAAGTTTTTCTTAAATTATAAGATTAAAAAAAATAATTTTGAGAAAAAAAAAATCTGATATCAAAGAAATTAATGAAGCTTAGAGCAAAATTTACTTTAGCATCATGGTCAACTGTAAGTGCAGTACCAATAGCAGGAGTTTCTGCAGTCAACTTACCTCAGATCTAGCTCTCCAAGGTCCTCCTAGCTAAACAATTTCTTCTATTTCTCTTAATAACTACTATTTTAATACATGTATAATTAAAATTTATATATAACTGTACTCACTAAATATTTATTTTATATAATTAAAAATTTATAAATATTATATATAAATAAATATTATATTTAAACATATAAATTATATTTAAATTTATGATAAATAATTAGTATAGTAATGCAAGATTATTTTTATTTATTGATAATTTATTTTAAAAATATTAAAATTTACTTCTTATATAATTATAATAAATGAAAATAAATTAAATAAAAAGTTAGAATAATTTTTAAATATTATTTCATTGGATTTTTTTAAAAAAATATTTTCAAGTAAAATAATTAACTACGTTTAATATATAAGAATTTTTTTTTCATGATAATTAATTAGTTGTGATTTTAGTTGGTTCCCTGTGATAAATTTCTATCGAGTTAATCATTCACACATTATCGGTATAAAATTTTTTACATTAACAATCAATCATATCTTTTAAATTATTTTATTTTAATTTTATATTATTAAATAAGTAAATAATATGATACTATTAAAAGATATGATTGGTTACTTGTATAATATTTTTTTCTCTCACAATGTATAGGTTCTGAGAAGTGTATATGTGATTAAATCATTTCTATTTGTCCAACCTCAAATGTCTGTTACCGCTCAACTACTTTGGAATTTGTGAATACAATTGTTCTTTTATCACTCTTTTATCTTAAAAATATGTTTTGAAAGTCAAAAGTAAATTTCGTCACTGAGGGATCCATTTGCTTGGTAATGGGGACACATGCCCACTAAATTTTTATCATTTCGTAAAAAATACATATTTATGAATATGTTATTTTTATAATTTAAAATTTGGGAAAATAATAATAATTTATATTATAAATATTACTCCATTAATTTATTCTAGTATATTTATTTTCATTTTCTGAATTAAATATTTTAATATTATTTTTCTTCTTTCTTTGAATATGAGCTTCAACATTATTTTTTAGGGTTTAAAAAAGTTCCCTTAACTATTTCAAATGATATTCCTTTTATCTTTACATATATAAATAAAATTGTAATTATCTCACGCTTCAATAATTAAGAAGAATTATCTCTATTTTTTTTAAGAAGAATTATCGATAATTAAAAATAATTTTATATAAAAATTTAAAATTATTGCTTATTTAAATAAATTTACTTATCAAAATTTTTAATTATAATATAATTTTATTTTTTAAATTTTAATATAATTTTAATTATATATGACATCAGTATAATTTTTATTAATTATTAGATTTGAATAATTTTTAATTAAATATAAATTTAATTTGAAGATAATCAAAGTCTTTATATTTTAATATATTTTAAAATATATATTGCATCAATTTTATTTTATAAAAATAAGGTATCATAACGTCCCTATAACTTAATTTTTATATCTGTCACTGAATTTTGCTATCTAATTTTAAGGTTGCACCAAACATTTTCTTCTAACTATCCTTGATAACTTTTTATAATACACTTATAATTTTGTTATAAATAATAGGAAAATGCAAACAAACACTGGCCAAACTTTTAGTAGATTTTTCTTTTTATTGAAACCAGTGATTTACACAATTTTAATTTCTTAATTAATGTCTTAAAGATGCTGATCAGTAAGACTCTTATTAATATTAAAATAATTATTAATGAAAAGTTAGTACTGCAATTTATTGAATAATAATTTTTTTATTATATATTTAATACAAAATATTTTTAATTTTGTTGATTATGGGGTCTCCGTTTACTTAATCCCTTTATGAATACTAATGATTTTTTATTTATACAAATGACTTGAAAATGAGATATTATACAAGATATTCAAATTGGATTACACTTTATTTAACAATAATGATAATAATATTATTAAATATATATAATAAAATAGGCAGACAAGAGGAGAGTAAGAACATTGGAGTTTCCTCAAATTGGGTTGCCATAATCGCTCGCTGCTGCATTGTTTCGGAGCTGCCGAAGAACATTGTTGTTCTCTCCCCCTTTCATGGCCTTACTTCTCTCTCTCTGCGTTCCATTCTTCTCTACCATTTAATTCAATACAAAACACACACAATCTTATTTATATATTCCTTTCATATTTGGTGTTCCACACTTGCTTCTTCTTCTTCTTCTTCTTCTTCTTCTTCTTCTTTGTTAAATGGCGAATGCATCTGGGTTGTTCACCCCTTCGGTTCCCCACTTCAGAGTCAGGGTTCGTCCTCTCTCCGCCATTGGATTCTCCGCCAAAGTTGTTTGCTTTGGAAACATCGAGGGAGCTGAAAAACACGCTTCCACCGTTTCCCCTTCCCAATCTCCGATACCCAGGTCACCTTTTCTCCTCTGCTTCATCTATTTCCGTTAAAGCTTCGATTTTGAGCCACACCCATCAATTTTCGCACCTCCAGCATCGTTACTTTTGAACATGCTAGTTCTAGGTTATAAATCAGACTCTTTTTTATGATGGATGTTTTGTATATCATTGCCTTTTTTAATGTTATTTGGGATCACAATATTCGTGTAATTGAAGTTTCTACACTCCGCAGGCTTGTCAGCAAAGGGTGCAAGTTAGTTGGATGTGGCTCTGCTGTGCCAGCTCTTCAGATTTCTAATGACGACCTCTCCAAAATGGTTGAAACTAATGATGAATGGATATCTGTTCGCACCGGGATTCGTAGACGGCGAGTTCTCTCAGGTTTGTTATTGCCAATGGCATGCCATTAGTCCCATCTTTTATGCAATATAGGTGCAGTGTTTAGAATTTGATTAGATTACACTGCCTGCACTCAAATTAGATAACCTGCTTTATCAGTTGGAGATTTCACATCGATTAATGGTATGACCAAAATAAATTATATAAGTGGGGAGCAATCTTTCATGGTTAGAATTTGAGTAGGTTACACTGCCTGCTCAGCTTAGGTAACCTCTTTATGCATCGGAGATCTTACATTGACTAGTGATATGACCAAAATATAATATATAAATAAGAACAATCCTTATTTTATAAGTTGGTTTTTTAAGGTTGAATTAGATCTAAATCTACTTTCTAAAGATGGTATAAGAGCCTATCTTACTAGTCGTTGTTGACTTTTATTAGGCCATCTTCTATCGGGCTATTATATCACCGCTAGCTGATGTCCAGCCTTATAAACTTCATGCTCAAAATGTTCGGTTCTTGGTGTGAGGTGTTCATCTATGTTGCATTTCTTGCTGTAGAAAGTTCCTTCTTGTTTTCTTAAGATAATCCTGTCTAAAATTGTTTAGAATTGTTTTGGAAGTTTTATAGTATGGTGATGTGTCTGCCTTCTATTGCTTGCTGTTCTGCTTGCAGGCAGAGATAACTTGACAACTTTAGCAGTAGAGGCAGCTAGGAAAGCACTTGAGATGGCAAAGGTAGAGCCTGATGATCTTGACCTAATTTTGATGTGCACATCTACTCCGGAGGATCTTTTTGGTAGTGCTCCACAGGTATGGGTTCTGGTTGCGTCATGTTGAGAATAATTCTTTACATTATGCTCGTCTTTAGCCTTTACCAAGTAATCTGTCTTTAAGGGGTTATGGAACCACTCCTATAATTTTATTGTCATTACATCTTGCAGATTCAAAAACAACTTGGCTGCAAAAGAAATCCATTGTCTTATGATATTACAGCTGCATGCAGTGGATTTGTGTTGGGTTTAATATCAGCTGCTTGTCACATTAGGGGTATGAATTGGTTACTTTTGTTGGCTTAATAAATAATAATTCAGAAATATGATGAAAATATTTCCTTTTATTGTGTGAGTGCAGGAGGTGGATTTAATAATGTTCTAGTTATTGGGGCAGATGCTCTTTCACGATATGTAGATTGGACAGACAGAGGGACCTGTATTCTTTTTGGGGATGCTGCTGGTGCTGTACTAGTACAGGTAATTGTATATCTTCCTGGCATTGTTCAACATTCGTTGCATATGTCAGCAATTATGATCCTCTTTCTCAGCTATTACAATTAGTTTTGTTGGTTATGTTTTTGTTTTCTTTGTAGAAGATGAAAGCAGGGTTTTGATAATCTTTTTAAAATTTAAGATGACGAAGATAATTAGATCGTTGTCTTCATCCTTGAAATAGAAGTTCAAAATTGCAAATATAGTATTACATATCTTCTGAGATGAAGTCCCTAGGTTTTCTCTAGATTGTATTGTCACTTTAAAATGACAATCTTTTTGTTTTGACAAGGAGAAGTCATTTTTAGTTAAGGGATGTAAATTGATGCCTTTGCTCTGGTACCATGATTACATTGCAGTCCTGCAACAGTGAGGAAGATGGTTTATTTGGTTTTGATTTGCATAGTGATGGCAGTGGTCAAAGGTTTGTGCTTCTCTTATGACTCAAAAGAGTTGTTCTATTCTTTCTGTAAGCTATGTAATTAAGCACCGATTCTTACTTAATGTAGGCACTTGAATGCTGCCATTAAAGAAAACGAGTCAAATAATGCATTGGATTCAAATGGTTCTGTGCTTGGCTTTCCTCCCAAGCAGTCCTCATATTCATGCATTCAAATGAATGGCAAAGAAGTCTTTCGCTTTGCTGTACGATGTGTACCTCAATCAATTGAATCTTCCCTTGAAAAGGCTGGCCTCCCTGCATCTAGCATTGATTGGCTACTTCTCCATCAGGTACACAGAAATAGTTTATTAAATAAAATTCAATCATGAGCTTGTTTGAATACAAATTTAGAAGAGTTTTTGAGAGCTTTTCTACTGAATATAAGTTTTTCCAGTAGAGAAACTCTACTTTGTATCCAAACAAGCTCCATGTTATCAATGTACTTATTGGATATTTATGTTGGGAGTATTACTGATGAATGCACCAATTCCTTCATCTGTTCCCCATTCTAACTAATCACAGCAATACAATTGCTTATAGCAAATGTGATGATAACCTGGGGGATAGGTAATGTCTATTGGTTAAAGGACTAGTTCAAGTTGCTATGATCTCTCCAATGGGTGGACAAAGTGGATTTGCTATGCATTTTTTTTTTTTAATGTTTTGGCACCCTAGGTGGACTGAAGGTGGTTGTTGCTTTGTTTTCATCCCTTGCTAAAATTGCTGGTATCAAGTTCATTTGTACGTTTTTTTCTTTCTAGTAAAAAGAATGTGAAATATAAATTAAAATGGTTGAAAACTTGACCGATCCTTCATATCCAGCAATTCATTGCTGCATGTGAGTGTTATTTTATCACTTTACTGAGTGTCAAGATCAATTTTATGATTGAAAACAGAATATCATTTTAGTTAACTTGGGAATTGCCCGGCATACTTGATAATAACTTGAAGAAATGTATGTTACATAATACTTAGGGTGGCTTACTTCATAACAAGTGCAGGCAAACCAGAGGATTATTGATGCAGTTGCCACTCGGTTAGAACTCCCCTCAGAACGGGTCATATCAAATTTGGCTAATTATGGTAACACAAGTGCAGCTTCCATTCCCTTGGCTCTAGATGAAGCAGTTCGAAGCGGTAAGATTAAGGCAGGTCAGACTATTGCAACTGCCGGCTTTGGCGCCGGTCTTACTTGGGGTTCAGCGATTGTTCGCTGGGGCTGAATGCTTTTCTATCATAGCAAAATTGCAAATAGAGAAGAATTTCATTTGCAAGTGCAGCAGCTGTGTCCAAATACCCCACCTTACACATTTGTAGAAAATGGGGTTTGGGGAATTTGCAAAAGGATAGATATCAATAACACATCCAGCACTCCCTGAACTTGTCCCTATCTTTTTTTCTTCAGTTTACATTCTCCTTGGGCGTCTTTTCTCAAGTACCAAATTTTCTTTTTCCGAGGCATGTATTTGTTATCATTCAGATTTATTTTAAACGAGGCTTACTATTTATGTTTCTCAATGGTACTTGTAATTATAAATGCAACATGGCAAGTGTTTGCTTGCTTGTACTTTAAAATACCTTGTCAACATCAAGAGCACTTTATGTTAGGTATCTGTTTTGATCTAATATATTGAAATTTGAAGCATAGGGATTTCATTTTGCAGAAAACTTAGTTACAATGCTTGTGCTCTTCTCCAATAGAATTGAAGTTTTATCTTAGTTATACACATTAATATTTAATGGAATCCTTTATTATATATATTATTGAGATAAAATTTCAATTTTTATTTGATAACATTACCAACAATACTTATGATATTGCATGTAAGTGTTGTTCTTTCATTTTGTTTTACAGATAATCTTGTATTACCACAATACCTGTGCAGCTGTGCTTAATCCTTTAATCCGGGATTTTAAAAGACAACAAAGCATGATCTGTTTCCAATATAGAACCCAATTAGGCACTAATCATCATCCCTCTTCTTGGGCCACGAACAAGGCAGTTTCAGCTAACTTGGTGATGTTAGGAATTTGATAATTTTGAGCTAAGTAAACCAACCACACACTGTCCCTGTTATAAAAGAGAAGCAACTCCTGATTATACCATAGATGCTCAAGTGCTAGCAATAAATTTCTGCAATTGAGAAATCACTTTGGTGCATGTTTGGAATAGATTAAAAACGTGGATATTGTATTATCTCGCCATGTTTAGAATGTAAAATATGCAAAAGCAACAATAAATGTTATGTTGGATGTGGAAAATCACATCGAAGACGTATATGCAAACACGCTCCTTGCAAGAATCACTGTCAGAAATGAGCAAATCATCATATAGTTAAAATCATATGACAAGTAATTTTAGAGTTTGTGTGGGTAGCCATTTTCTTGGGGAAAAGAAAATCACTGGTATATATAACAAAGGACATCACTCGCTTCAGTTCGAAGTATTTTTTAAATTGTGTATGGTTCAGAATTGTACAAATTAAAACTAGTTTATGTAAATGTAGAAAAAAAATTGAGCTTCTCTAGTTTAAAACAAACTATTACTGATTTCTTCTTAATTAGCCTTTTTTTTTCCAGAGATTAATTCCAACATTATTTATTTTCTGTTGTCGTCAACCTAAGTTATGAATGGAATTATTAATCATAAAAAAATAAAATATGCTGCATTTAAAACAACAACATATACATTTTAGATTGATAGAAACCATATGAAATTTCTAGCAAACAACTGCAACAAATCATATACAGTTACAACTTACAAGTCCATACAAGTGTTTTACATGATTTAGAAAACATTATATGTGATAACTATCCCAAATTAGTTCTTCAAATCTATCATTCACATAATCAAAGTTGCTAATTGTGAATAACACTTGCCTTTAGGTCGCTGGACTTCTATGGTGACACGTACCATATGGCCTATCAAACTGCAGCTATGAGCTATTCTAAAATATAGTTCATACTATATTATATAAAAAAATAGAAAATATCTGACATGAGAACCATATACACACCGAAGCGCCAATATAGATGAATTAAAAACTATAACCAGTTTACATTTCATAAAAATCAATGAGTTGGTTTACATATAAGTTTAGAAATATTTCAGAAAGTTTCTCTATTAAAAATAATTTTTTATTTTTGATAAAAAAACAAAACTCTCAAAATCACTTCTAATTTGTATTCAAATAGACTCTATATCTTATATCAAAGAGATGGTGACAAATATATCTATATTCTAGAATCATATAGAAAAATATCCAACCTGATTATTAACACATTAATGAGTAATAATTTGTCGGCATTCATGTCACCTCAACAAACGAAGAGGCAATGCTAATAACTTTTTTCCTCCGGTTTGCACCAATAACCAATACCTTTTCTTTTTATAGAAATCACTTAATTAAGTTTTGTCTCTTCTAATAAAATTTTCTTATACACATGATAAAAACCAAACTCCTCACAACAGAATACTTAAAAACCTAACTATTTATCAATAGTACTAAACATTATTAGTTACAACTTAGGCTATGCTTAGTTATTAGTTTAAAACTTGCAACTTCAATTAGCTGACTTTGAATGCAATGCCTACATATTTAACAATTTTTTCCCCATTTTGTTGAGTGTAAATCACAAGCAAATCTATGTTGAATCAAAAGCTACAAAGTGTTTTTTTTTTTTTTAAGTTAGTTTTAAAAGTTAAATTTAACTCAATTTAACTTGCTGCTAAAAACTAATAACTGTTCCAAATCAAACCTCTATGGTTCCAATTAACTGTACAAAATGAGTAGCCCAAGCCTATAAGGGTCCAACGAGTCATGCCCCGCAATAATCAAGCTCTTACGAAGGGTTCTTCGTATGAAGGAAACAGTGTTAGATGATGGGTCTAGAGAAATTTAGGCATAGTTGGTCCAATCCAAATATAATACACCTGAAAACTGAAAAATAATTGATCAAACTAACGATTTTTCTAAATTTCTTGATCAATAATTATGATTATGTATTCCTTTTAGTAGGAAAATGGAAACAATCAACTTGCTATGTAAAAATAATATAAATATTATGTTGATATATTTGTCTGCTAGATAAATTTTCAACAATCTGTTTTCTCACATTTATTTAAGTGCGAGTTGAGGATAGCATTATAACCTAGCAAAAGATAGCAACAACTTTGAATAATACTATTTTTAATGCTTCGTTTTTTTCGACGTTGTTTTGAACAATATGAAATAGATGCCTAATGAGAGCAGGGAAGTACTCGGTACTATTTGTGACACCCTTACTACTCCAACACATATATTGTAATAATATAGATAAACTAAGGAAATCAAATTTTCAAAATAGGTAAAAGGATTCACATAAAACCTTTAGAAACATTCTTCAATATCCAAAATATTATGAAAATGAAACTTGAAAAATAAAACATAAGAGGTTACAAAATGTTTTCAAAATAATAGGTTCAACTCCGTATACAAATACAATTCATGTCCTAGAAATTCTCTGTCTCGATGTCACAATATCAGAGCATACCCATAAATCAACTGTTGACACTCTAGATGCCACTCATAACTGGATCTTTCTCACCTAAAACATCCACAAATTGTATGGTGAGAAAAGAAAGCATCTATATATATAGCACATAAGGAAAACACAACATATCGTCTCATTATGACTCTATACTTAATAAAATATTCATAAACATTTCAACATATCATAACTCGATCAATCATACATCATTATCACGTCATAATTTGCAATCACACCAATCATCACAAATCTTGCACTTCACACTATGCCAAGGTCACGTTACCCATTTAACAATCCAAGGCCGTGCTCACCCCCGATATAACACTATGCAAGGTCACGATCCCCCAGTAGCATATCTAGCCCAGGGTCGTGCTCACCCATGACATGTTATTCAAGGTCACAATACTCACGTAACAATCCAAGGCCGTGCTCACCCCTGATATAACACTGTGCCGAGGTCACGTTACCCCTAACCCAGGGTCGTGCTCACCCCCGACATGTTAACCAAGGTCACAATACTCATGTAACAATCTCGGGCCGTGCTCACCCCTGGTCATAGGTGTGAAGAACCACAATCACATCACAATCCACACAATTCTTACAATTAACACTATGTCAAGGCCACGCCACAACTGACATAAGTGATACGTGTTAATTGTCTCTCATCCCACATCATGCCAGGGTCACGCCCTCCCTGTAGCATCACTTACCCAGGGGCCGTGCCATCCCTAGTCATTGATGTGAGGAACCTCAATCATAATCATATTCACATTCATCACATCTCATCTTATAGCTCAATAACATATCACATACACATCACGGATAAGTCCAACAAAATAAGGGTTTCATACACCTCAAGCAATTCACATATAAATCATCAATTCTTATCAATTGATATAACAATAATATTCATAAATTAATATAATACTCAACAGAATTACCAATTTAATATAATTTCAACATAAACAGTAAAATCCCCAATTGTTTCAAAATCTAGCTCACAGACACTTTTCTACAATTTCGTTCTCCCTCTCAGATCATCATTCTTACAAATTAAATATGTACTTCTAATCCTCAACACATACAGAATCTAATGAGATCATCAATTTCTCAAACAGAAATATTCCAATTTTTCCAAAACCTAGCCTACAAGCACTTTTTTATAATTTCGTTCTCTCTCCCAGAGCATCATTTTTACAAATAAATCATATATTCATAATCCTAAATTCATACAGAATCTAATAAGACTAATAATTCTCCAAATAGAAATAATTATAAAATTGCTCATAATCCTAAGGGATTCTTCCTCTACCCAATTCCTTCATGTAACTTCACATATAAATAATTCTCTTTTCCCCCGTACCTGGATAAACAGCAGTTGAACTAAAACAGGGATCTCTTGGTCTCCTCCTCTAAGTGCCCCTTGTCTTCAGAGAGAAGAAGAGGGAAAAAAGAGAGAACAGAAGATATATAATAGGAAGAGAGAATGAGAGATGTGTGAAAATGACAGGTGAGGGGCGCTATTTATAGGATTTCAGGCTCACCTACCGGAACGGCCCGTTCCAAAAGTGGAACGCCCGTTCTGGACCCTTCAAACCTACGCAAATTTCTCAACAGGAACAGCCCGTTCTAAAACCGGAACGACTCGTTCTCAAACCCAGCAGAACGGCCCGTTCTTCTCTAGAACGGCCCGTTCTCCAAACCAGAACGGCCCGTTCTCCAATTGGAACGTCCCGTTCTCCCACTTCATTTTCTAAGCATTTTCTTATTTCGGAACGTCCCGTTTCACTTTTGAAACGGCCCGTTCCGGGCAACGAATTGGGCCCTTGGCCCAGCAAAAAATTGGACTGTTACACTATTGTGTATGTTCGAAATTGATTCACGCAAACTTTAATATGATTTTGTAGGAAAATATGGTTTGTTTTTTAAAATTTTGTTTCGAGTGCTTACGAGTCGTTGAATTTTAGTTTTAGATGTAATTTTTTTTTTTAAAAAAAAAACTTGATTGATTATGTTAACTTAATTTCAAAATATTTTTATATTTGTTTAGAAAATGATTTATGAAATTGGTTTTAATTTTTCAAAAAATTCCACCGTTACATTTGTAAATGATCA